TTTGTATCAATTGGTTGTACCTGATTTAATTTGGCCCGTACTAAAATGTCTTTTAAATTTTTACTTTTTCTATAGGCTAAAATAATTTGGTGGTTTTCCAATAACCCTGGATCTCCAATTAAGTGTTTGTAATTATTTTTAATCTGTCTATTTATAATTTTAGTCACTGTCGAATATTGGGTAATTAAGGGAATAATTTTTTTGTTTGTAATTTTTGTTTTTGTTTCTTTAAATGATTTTAGACATTGCCTCAAAAATGATCTGGAATAACCCCTCTTTCTTAATGGTACAAATAGAATTTTTACAGCTTCCCAAAAATCCTTTTGTTGTGTACAAATTCGATGAAAACGTAATAACTGTGATTTAACTAGACCTTTGAAGGTGTGCTTTGGATGAAAACTGGTTTTGAACAGTAAGGCGTGAGTATCTGTTTTTTTGAAAAATACTTTGATGTCTAAACTACCATCTAAAGAAAACGATGACCCCTTGTATACTGTCGTATCCAAGAAATCAATTTTATCTTCATGGATTTCATATTTTAATTGTATTGAGGGATCATGACCATTTAAAATTTGCATGAATTCCTCGAATTCTGCACGGGAATAACACCAAATTCCCCAAATATCATCCAGATATCTGAGGTAATGAAGAGGTTTCTTTTGGCATTTTGCCAAGACTTCCTTCTCCCAATTTGCCATAAAAATATTTGCATAAGCTGGGGCGAATTTTTTACCCATTGCTGTTCCCTTAATTTGTAAATAAAACTCCTCGTTGAAAACAAAATCATTCCTAGTCAAATTAATATCTAATAATTTAATTAATTCTTCATCTGGCCTATCATTATCTGGGTGGTCTCTGAAAATATTTTTTACTGTTTCTATTCCTGCCTGTATGTCTATATTTGTGTATAAGCTATCTACATCTAAACTAAAGAATAATGAGTTTTGTGGGATCCTCAATTGTTTGATGATGTCAATGAAATGATATGTATCCTTTACATATGAAGCATGGAGCATGGACAAGGGATTTAAATAATGATCAATAAATTCTGCCGTATGGTAGGTTTCACTCCCACAATCTGAAACAATTGGTCTGCCTGGGGGTATTTCAAATGGTACTGTCCATTTCTCTGGATCTTTATGAACTTTTGGCAGAATATAAAATCGTCTTTCCCGAGGTTCTCCTTCACCCTTGAGGTACTGTGCCTGTTTTTTTTATTAATGTATTTCTTGGTTTTTAAAGTGTCGATGATATCATGGACGATTGGAACTGTTTTCAAATAAAGTGGCTCTGTTAATTTTTTATAATATTTTTTATCATTTAATTGGCGCCAAACTTCTGTGACATATTGATCTCGTCCCATGATCACAACTACACTTCCTTTATCTGCAGGTTTAATAATTATTTCTTTGTTGTTCCTTAACTCTCTAAGTGCCTTTATTTCTTGTTGTGTCAAATTTGATTTTTCCAAATAGAATTTAAAATAATTTTTAAGGTCCTGATTGTCTTTATGAATTAATGTGTGGATTTCCTCTGGTAATTTTTCTAAGGGTGGGGTCCAAATTGATGTCGGTGTAAATGGTTTAATTGTACTTATTTTGTCATCATTAAAATATGTTGCTAATTTTAATCGTCTGTGATAATTTTGAATGTCCAATTTTAATTGATTTTTTTGATGTTTTCTCGAATCTAAGGTAGGAATGAAGGTGAGTCCTCGATTTAAAAGATCTAATTGGGCTTCGGTGGGAGTGAATGTTTTTGTCAATATGATGACATTTTGTGACGAAAGGGGCTGTAGCCCCTCGTGCCCCTCCGTCTCCTGGCTTAAGGGGCTTTCAAGTTTAAATGGCTGACCCAGTGGTCAAACATTGATTTAGCTGTTGTTCTTGTCCAATGTATGTGGTCTACCTCTGTCAGAAATTTGTCTCTTTCAAGAGACTCGATATACGGCATGTTCCTGAATATGTAGGCGTTCAGCAGTTGCAGATTTAATTTTTCCTGGGTCGGTAGGAATGCAGAGTAGTTAATTTTTGGGATCCAGATTTCTGCGTATGGGAATTTGTTTTTTGCCAATCTGACTGCTGCTTGTAGCTGCTTAATGGACGTCTCCTTAACTTTTTGTGCTCTAGCATTCAGACCAAATGAGAGCAGCACTTTCTCCACTGTCACCTCACTGGTTGCGTTGGACAGAATGCCCTGTGCGTGGCGAAAGTTAGCCCCTGGATAGCTGTCTATCTGCAGGTCTGGAATAGAATGCATTGGCATCCTGGCCAGGTTGGAGTCACCAATGAACAGCCATTTTTTGGTCACAGTCAAGCTCCAGTCTGTCATTTTCTTGTCCGTATTAATGTGTCTTTTTGGTTTGTATGTTGTAGGTTTTGGGGGAGAGGGAGAGTTTCCCTCCAAAAACTCCAGAAGCTCCCTGTCCAGCTCCAACTGGGAGTTCTGTGTCCCGACCGGATCTCTATGAACCTGTGCGGTGACACAGATCTTTTGTGGAGACAGAACAGGAGTTGTGTCCAGCTCCGTGGCCTGGTCTTCCTCTATGTGTGAGTACTGTTTTGTATTGTTTGTAGGTGTTTGTTTCTCATTTTGTTTGTTTTGTTGTGGTTCTGTGTGTGGTGTGTGGACTGGAGTTTGAACGTGAACAGGACGCTTGGTCCTCTGTTCTTTGGGAGAAGCCCTAAACGGATTAGTGGGGCTGAGATGGAGTTCGCCCTCTGTGTTGTCTCCCAAAATGTCACTCAGAACCTGAGCTGTTTTGCCCAGGCCTGGTTTAGTGACAGGTGTGGAGGTTATTTCCCTGCTCGGTGTCAGCTCCTGTATAATATCCTCCCAAAAAGCCTTTTGGGAGGGAGTGAACTCCGGAGTTTTGGACCTTGGAGCAGTCTGAGGTGTTTTGTTTTGTTGTGGTGGTGTTTTCTGTTGTTGTTGTTGTTGTGGTGGTGTTTTGGTTTGTTGTTGTTGTGCTTGTGCTGACTGTGTTTTTTGTTGTGGTGTCTGCTTTGTCTGTACATGTTTTTCCACAGATTGTGGAGCAGGCTCCTCGGTGGGAACCACAACCTCCTCCAGGAACTGCACCTGAGATGGATCCTCCTGACTCCGGCGTCTGTTCCTGGTTGAAGCTGATGGTGAGTGTTGCAGATCATTTTGTTTTTCCTGTGCAGCAGCAGGCTCAGAAGGGGCTGCCTGTCTGTCCTGTGCTGCATCAGGCTTCACACATGAGGCTATCAAAGCCTCCGCATGGTCAATAACCTCCTGTTTTATGCGAGACAGATTTTTCCGAGCCCATCTCGTGGCCACAGCGAAGGCGCTCTTCCACTCTTGAGGTGGCTCTCTGGAAAGATCTGCCTGCATTTTCTCCAGCTCAGCAGTATAGTGGTCCTGGAGAATGAGCAGTGTAGTGTGGCCCCAGTTCTTAGCGTTCCCCATGATCATATCCAGGGTGTAAGTTGTTGGATTTGCTGGTTTGATCATGGTTGTCAAATTATCCACCATACGTGCTATCATTTTTGGATCCTGTTTTTCAGGTCCTGGGGTCACATTTTGAAGGTGGTGAACCATTTTAATAACAGAGTGTAATTTTCTGACCATTTGTCCGAATTGGGGGTCATGTACGGGTGCTTGCTGTGTACTTGGAGCAGGCATGGGTCTGCTCTGCTGTGTGGTGTTTTGGTGGTTATACGGGCGCCTGTAAGGAAATCCCCCCTGGTTACGGGTGGGGTTTCCCTGGTGTAACACAGATGCATAGGACCCTGATTGAGGTCCCCAAAATCTGGGTCGATAATGAGGAGGAGGTCCAGGTCTGCGGGGACGTGAGGGAGCAGAGAACCTTGGGGGAGGCACAGGCCGGTTAGGATTACGGGAAAAGGGGGACTGTCTCCTAGGATAGGAGACAGGAGGTGCACGGTCCATCCCCCTGTTCCCCGTCCCCCACGACCCCGTTTGGTACTGCTGATTATTAGTGCGGTACGGGCGTCGACCACGCCTTCTCCCGTATCGCACTTCAGTCCAGTCTTGTTGCTCATAAGTCATGATTGTTTTTAATCTTTTTAATTATTTATTACTATTTATTAATGTACTGTATTTATTAAACTATGTATTTATTTATTTGTGTATCTATCTATCTTTTTATTAATCTAATGAAATGAAAAAATATTTAAAACAAAAACTGTATTTAAAAAAATGAATTGTTCTTTTATTTTTTTATGCTTTTTTTTGTTTTTTTCTGAAATCAAAATGAAATAAAAGAAAGAAAACCAAATAAAATGCCTACGAGGAGGAAGAAATAAAGAAAGGGTGTGATAAAGAGTGCCCAGTCGCGACGTTTCGACCGCTGTGGGTCTTCTTCAGGCTATGGGCACAAAAGAAAATATGTCTGGACTTGTTTTAGTGTGTGTAGGAGATGTTTTCTCTTCAGGAGACATATGAGAAGTGAAGAAACAGAGCTCTGTGTGCGTGTGTTATTTATAGGGGCGTGGGAGAGAGCAGAGCCAGACGGGGGCCCCCCGGCCGTCTGGATACCGTCTGGGTGCAGTTAACCCCATAAATGCCAACTAAAATTAAATGACCTGAATGTTAATGCCTAATTAGAACTTTTTACCCTCTTTTTAAGTGATTAAACTTTATGAATTGTAATTGTAATGCCCAATTTAGAAATTTCTACCCTGTTTTAGCTGATTAATTGTAATTTTAAGGCCCAATTTAGAATGTTTTCCCCTCTTTTTAACAGATTAATTGAAAATGAATTGTAATTTAATGCCCCATTGAAACTTTAGTCTTTTAGATCCATAATTGCCAATTAGTATTTTAATGAAGTTGAATTTTAAAGATAGTTGTAGTGTTTTTAGCCCTTAATCCTTTTTAAATGTTAGATAAGATATGCATTTTTAATATTTATGGTTTAAATGTCAAATCATGACTATTTTTAGCGTATTATGAAGTTTAATAATTAATAATGAATTAAAAATAATTAGTACAAATAAATTATTAGTTTTTAAAGGTTAGGGTTAGGGGTCGGGGCTAGGGTTAGAGAGGTTAGGGTTAGGATTAAGGCTAGGGTTAGGTTTAGGGCAAGATCTAGAGGTTAGGGTTAGGGTTAGGGCCAGGGTTAGGGTTAGATTTTATTCCCGAGGGTTAGGGTTAGGGTTAGGGTTAGGGATAGGGTTAGGGTTAGATTTTGATCCCCGAAGGTTAGGGTTAGGGTTAGGGATAGGGTTAGGGTTAGATGTTTGATCCCCGAGGGTTAGGGTTAGGGTTAGGGTTAGATTTTGATCCCCGAAGGTTAGGGTTAGGGTTAGGATTCTGGTTAGGCGTTAGATTAGGGCTAGGGGTTAGTGGTTAGGGGTCAGGGGTTAGTGATAAGGGTTTGGTGGTTAGTGATTAGGGGTTGGTGGTTAGTGATCAGGGGTCAGGGTTAGGCATTAGAGCCCCTAATCACATGTGGATGTTAGGGTTAGGGTTAGGGGTTAGGGTTAGGTTTACGGGAAAAGGGGGACTGTCTCCTAGAATAGGAGACAGGAGGTGCACGGTCCATCCCCCTGTTCCCCGTCCCCCACGACCCCGTTTGATATTGCTGATCAGTGCGATACGGGCGTCGACCACGCCTTCTCCCGTATCGCACTTCAGTCCATTGTTCTTGCTCATAAGTCATAATTGTTTTTTAATCTTTTTTAATTATTTATTACTATTTATTAATGTGGTGTATTTACTAAACTATTTATTTATTGGTGTTTTATTTATTTATTCAAATCAAGGTATTAAAAACAAAACAGTATAACAAAATAAATGAATTGTTCTTATTTTTTTATGCTTTTTTGTTTTTTTGTGAAATAAAAATGAAATAAAATGAAATAAAAGTGATAAAAACGAAATAAAATGTGTATGAAAATGAAGAATTGAAGAATAAAGGATGAAAAAAGTGCCCAGTCGCGACGTTTCGACCCGCTTGGGTCTTCTTCAGGCTATGGGCACAGAAAGGGATATGTCTGGACTTGTTTTAGTATGTTGATGAGATGCTTTCTCTTCATGAGACATATGAGAAGTGAGAGGAGTAAGCTGTGAGTGCGTGAGTTATTTATAGGGGCGTGGGAAAGAGCAGAGCGCAGCTGCACACCAATGACCCAGACGGGGCCCCCGGCCGTCTGTGTGCTCTCTGGGTGCAGTTAACCCCATAAATGCCAACTGAAATTAGATGACATGAATGTTAATGGCCAATTTGAATGTTTTTACCCTCTTTTAACAGATTAATCTTAATGAATTATATTTGTAATGCCCAATTAGAATTTTTTATCCTCTTTTTAACTTATTTAATTTAATGAATTGTAATTGTAATGCCCAATTTTAACGTTTGCCAATTAGAATTGTAATGAATTTGGATTTTTAAAGACAGATGTAATTATGAGATATATATTTGTAATATTTATGGTTTTAGTGTAAAATCATTACTATTTTTAGCCTATTATGAAATGTAATAATCAATAATGGATTAAAAAGAATAAAGTAAAATAAATTATTAGTTTTTAAAGGTTAGGATTAGGGGTCAGGGCTAGGGTTAGAGAGGTTAGGGTTAGGGCCAGGGTTAGGGTTAGATTTTATCCCCGAGGGTTAGGGTTAGGGTTAGGGATAGGTTTAGGGTTAGATTTGATCCCGAGGGTTAGGGTTAGGGTTAGATTTTTGATCCCCGAGGGTTAGGGTTAGGGTTAGGGATAGGTTTAGGGTTAGATTTGATCCCGAGGGTTAGGGTTAGGGTTAGATTTTTGATCCCCGAGGGTTAGGGTTAGGGTTAGGATTCTGGTTAGGCGTTAGATTAGGGCTAGGGGTTAGTAATTAGGGGTCAGGGGTTAGTAATTAGGGGTTGGTGGTTAGTGATTAGGGGTTGGTGGTTAGTGATTAGGGGTCAGGGTTAGGCATTGGAGCCCCTAATCACACGTAGATGTAACAAAAACTAATTAAAATTTGATATTGAGGCCAATTGGTTCTTTGGTTTGTAATAGATAAATCCATCTCCTCTCCATGTTTTTCCTATCTTTATCTGTCCAGAGTAAATTACTCTGGATCCCTGCCATCCTGATGGCCTCAATGCCGTGGACAATAAAATGTTGTACAAGGGGAGTATTAGTTTCTTTTTGATTTTTTATATTGTACCTATGTTGCCACATTCTTGTTCGTAACGTATTTTTTGTTTCTCCAATGTATTGCTTTCCACATTTGTTGCAAATTATAATATAAACACAGTTTTTAGTTTGTAATGTAAATTTTTGTTTGATTTTGAACATTGTTTTATCCAATTTGTTTGTTACATAGGTCAATGTTTGGAAAAAATTAGATTTGGGGTTTGTATCAATTGGTTGTACCTGATTTAATTTGGCCCGTACTAAAATGTCTTTTAAATTTTTACTTTTTCTATAAGCTAAAATAATTTGGTGGTTTTCTAATAACCCTGGATCTCCAATTAAGTGTTTGTAATTATTTTTAATCTGTCTATTAATAATTTTAGTCACTGTGGAATATTGGGTAATTAAAGGAATAATCTTTTTGTTTGTAATTTTTGCTTTTGTTTCTTTAAATGATTTTAGACATTGCCTCAAAAATGACCTAGAATAACCCCTCTTTCTTAATGCTACAAACAGAATTTTTACAGCTTCCCAAAAATCCTTTTGTTGTGTACAAATCCAATGAAATCGTAATAACTGTGATTTAACTAGACCTTTGAAGGTGTGCTTTGGATGAAAACTGGTTTTGAACAGTAAGGCGTGAGTATCTGTTTTTTTGAAAAATACTTTGATGTCTAAACTACCATCTAAAGAAAACGATGACCCCTTGTACACCGTTGTATCCAAGAAATCAATTTTGTCTTCATGGATTTCATATTTTAATTGTATTGAGGGATCATGACCATTTAAAATTTGCATGAATTCCTCGAATTCTGCACGGGAATAACACCAAATTCCCCAAATATCATCCAGATATCTGAGGTAATGAAGAGGTTTCTTTTGGCATTTTGCCAAGACTTCCTTCTCCCAATTTGCCATAAAAATATTTGCATAAGCTGGGGCGAATTTTTTACCCATTGCTGTTCCCTTAATTTGTAAATAAAACTCCTCGTTGAAAACAAAATCATTCCTAGTCAAATTAATATCTAATAATTTAATTAATTCTTCATCTGGCCTATCATTATCTGGGTGGTCTCTGAAAATATTTTTTACTGTTTCTATTCCTGCCTGTATGTCTATATTTGTGTATAAGCTATCTACATCTAAACTAAAGAATAATGAGTTTTGTGGGATCCCAATTGTTTGATGATGTCAATGAAATGATATGTATCCTTTACATATGAAGCATGGAGCATGGACAAGGGATTTAAATAATGATCAATAAATTCTGCCGTATGGTAGGTTTCACTCCCACAATCTGAAACAATTGGTCTGCCTGGGGTATTTCAAATGGTACTGTCCATTTCTCTGGATCTTTATGAACTTTTGGCAGAATATAAAATCGTCTTTCCCGAGGTTCTCCTTCACCCTTGAGGTACTGTGCCTGTTTTTTATTAATGTATTTCTTGGTTTTTAAAGTGTCGATGATATCATGGACGATTGGAACTGTTTTCAAATAAAGTGGCTCTGTTAATTTTTTATAATATTTTTTATCGTTTAATTGGCGCCAAACTTCTGTAACATATTGATCTCGTCCCATGATCACAACTACGCTTCCTTTATCCGCAGGTTTAATAATTATTTCATTGTTTTTCCTTAGCTCTTTAAGTGCCTTTATTTCTTGTTGTGTCAAATTTGTTTTTTCCAAATAGAATTTAAAATAATATTTAAGATCCTGATTGTCTTTATGAATTAATGTGTGGATTTCCTCTGGTAATTTTTCTAAGGGTGGGGTCCAAATTGATGTAGGTGTAAATGGTTTAATTGTACTAATTTGGTCATCATTAAAATATGTGGCTAATTTTAATCGTCTGATAATTTTGAATGTCCAATTTTAATTGATTTTTTTGATGTTTTCTCGAATCTAAGGTAGGTATGAAGGTGAGTCCTCGATTTAATAGATCTAATTGGGCTTGGGTGGGAGTGAATGTTTTGGTTAATATGATGACATTTTGTGACGAAAGGGGCTGTAGCCCCTCGTGCCCCTCCGTCTCCTGGCTTAAGGGGCTTTTAAGTTTAAATGGCTGACCCAGTGGTCAAACATTGATTTAGCTGTTGTTCTTGTCCAATGTATGTGGTCCACCTCTGTCAGAAACTTGTCTCTTTCTAGAGACTCGATGTACGGCATGTTTCTGAATATGTAGGCGTTCAGCAGCTGTAGATTTAGTTTTTCCTGGGTCGGTAGGAATGAAGAATAGTTAATTTTTGGGATCCAGATCTCTGCGTATGGGAATTTGTTTTTGGCCAATCTGACTGCTGCTTGTAGCTGCTTAATGGATGTCTCCTTCACTTTTTGTGCTCTAGCATTCAAACCAAATGAGAGCAGCACTTTCTCCACTGTCACCTCACTGGTTGCGTTGGACAGAATGCCCTGTGCGTGGCGAAAGTTAGCCCCTGGATAGCTGTCTATCTGTAGGTCTGGAATAGAATGCATTGGCATCCTGGCCAGGTTGGAGTCACCAATGAACAGCCATTTTTTGGTCACAGTCAGGCTCCAGTCTGTCATTTTCTTGTCTGTGTTAATGTGTCTTTTTGGTTTGTATGTTGTAGGTTTTGGGGGAGAGGGAGGACTGCCCTCCAAAAACTCCAGAAGCTCCCTGTCCAGCTCCAATGGGGAGTTCTGTGTTTCGACCGGATCTCTATGAACCTGTGCGGTGACACAGATTTTTTGTGGAGACAGAACTGGAGTTGTGTCCAGTTCCGTGGCCTGATCTTCCCCTATGTGTGAGTACTGTTTTGTAGTGTTTGTAGGTGTTTGTTTCTCATTTTGTTTGTTATGTTGTGGTTCTGTGTGTGGTGTGTGGACTGGAGTCTGACCCTGAAAAGGACGCTTGGTCCTCTGCTCTTTGGGAGAAGCCCTGAAAGGATTTGTGGGGCTAAGATGGAGTTCCCCCTCTGTGTTTTCTCCCAAAATCTCACTCCGAACCTGAGCTGTTTTGCCCAGGCCTGGCTTAGTGATCGGTGTGGAGGTCATTTCTGTGCTTGGTGTCAGCTCCTGTATAATATCCTCCCAAAAAGCCTTTTGGGAGGGAGTGAACTCCGGGGTCCTGGACTTTGGAAAAGTCTGAGGTGTTTTGTTTTGTTGTGGTGGTGTTTTCTGTCGTTGTTGTTGTGGTGGTGTTTTGTTTTGTTGTTGTTGTGCTTGTGCTGACTGTGTTTTTTGTTGTGGTGTCTGCTTTGTGTGTACATGTTTTTCCACAGATTGTGGAGCAGGCTCCTCGGTGGGAACCACAACCTCCTCCAGGAACTGCACCTGAGATGGATCCTCCTGACTCCGGCGTCTGTTCCTGGTCGAAGCTGATGGTGAGTGATGCTGATCATTGTTTTGTTTTTCCTGTGCAGCAGCAGGCTCAGAAGGGGCTGCCTGTCTGTCCTGTGCTGCATCAGGCTTCACACAGGAGGCTATCAGAGCCTCCGCGTGGTCAATAACCTCCTGTTTTATGCGAAACAGATTCTTTCGAGCCCATCTCGTGGCCACAGTGAAGGCGCTTTTCCACTCTTGAGGTGGCTCTTTTGAAAGATCTCCCTGCATTTTCTCCAGCTCAGCGGTGTAATGGTCCTGGAGAATGAGCAGTGTAGTGTGGCCCCAGTTCTTAGCGTTCCCCATGATCATATCCAGCGTGTAGGTTGTTGGATTAGCTGGTTTAATCATGGTTGCCAAATTATCCACCATACGTGCTATCATTTTTGGATCCTGTTTTTCAGGTCCTGGGGTCACATTTTGTAGGTGGTGTACCATTTTAATGATAGTGTGCAATTTTCTAACCAGCTGTCCGAATTGGGGGTCATGTACGGGTGCTTGCTGTGCACTTGGAGCAGGCATGGGTCTGCTCTGTTGTGTGGTGTTTTGGTGATAATAAGGGCGCCTGTAAGGAAATCCCCCCTGGTTGCGGGTGGGGTTTCCCTGGTGTAACACAGATGCATAGGACCCTGATTGAGGTCCCCAAAATCTGGGTCGATAGTGAGGAGGAGGTCCTGGTCTGCGGGGACGTGAGGGAGCAGAGAACCGTGGGGGAGGCACAGGCCGGTTAGGTTTACGGGAAAAGGGGGACTGTCTCCTAGAATAGGAGACAGGAGGTGCACGGTCCATCCCCCTGTTCCCCGTTCCCCACGACCCCGTTTGATATTGCTGATCAGTGCGATACGGGCGTCGACCACGCCTTCTCCCGTATCGCACTTCAGTCCATTGTTCTTGCTCATAAGTCATAATTGTTTTTTAATCTTTTTTAATTATTTATTACTATTTATTAATGTGGTGTATTTACTAAACTATTTATTTATTGGTGTATCTATCTATCTATCTAATTTATTTATTTATTCAAATCAAGGTATTAAAAACAAAACAGTATAACAAAATAAATGAATTGTTCTTATTTTTTTATGCTTTTTTGTTTTTTTGTGAAATAAAAATGAAATAAAATGAAATAAAAGTGATAAAAACGAAATAAAATGTGTATGAAAATGAAGAATTGAAGAATAAAGGATGAAAAAAGTGCCCAGTCGCGACGTTTCGACCCGCTTGGGTCTTCTTCAGGCTATGGGCACAGAAAGGGATATGTCTGGACTTGTTTTAGTATGTTGATGAGATGCTTTCTCTTCATGAGACATATGAGAAGTGAGAGGAGTAAGCTGTGAGTGCGTGAGTTATTTATAGGGGCGTGGGAAAGAGCAGAGCGCAGCTGCACACCAATGACCCAGACGGGCGCCCGGCCGTCTGTGTGCTCTCTGGGTGCAGTTAACCCCATAAATGCCAACTGAAATTAGATGACATGAATGTTAATGGCCAATTTGAATGTTTTTACCCTCTTTTAACAGATTAATCTTAATGAATTATATTTGTAATGCCCAATTAGAATTTTTTATCCTCTTTTTAACTTATTTAATTTAATGAATTGTAATTGTAATGCCCAATATTAACGTTTGCCAATTAGAATTGTAATGAATTTGGATTTTTAAAGACAGATGTAATTATGTTAACCCCTAATTCCCTTTTTAAATTTTAGATGAGATATATATTTGTAATATTTATGGTTTTAGTGTAAAATCATTACTATTTTTAGCCTATTATGAAATGTAATAATCAATAATGGATTAAAAAGAATAAAGTAAAATAAATTATTAGTTTTTAAAGGTTAGGATTAGGGGTCAGGGCTAGGGTTAGAGAGGTTAGGGTTAGGGCCAGGGTTAGGGTTAGATTTTATCCCCGAGGGTTAGGGTTAGGGTTAGGGTTAGGGATAGGTTTAGGGTTAGATTTGATCCCGAGGGTTAGGGTTAGGGTTAGGGTTAGGGGTTAGGGTTAGGGTTAGGGTTAGGGGAGGGGACTCTATCCCGTCTCCCATAAGGAGCGGGGAATGCACGGGCCTTCCCCCATCCGTACCCGTCCCTACGGTCCCAGGATTGCTGGCGGAAACTTTCTTTTTTCTTCTAAATAAACTATGTACAATAAAATTTGTGTGCCCACGACAACGTTTCGACCCCTTGTGGGTCTTCTTCAGGTCCTCTGGCACACAACAAACAAAACAAAACAAAAAACTGTCTCTAAATAAACAAAATCAAGGATGCTGGCTGTTAATTTTAAGAGATGTTCTCTCCTCAAGCTTCTGAGTGGAAATGAATAAGTCCAACCCACTGCTCCCTTTTATAGTCTCTGGCGAATAAATACAATGAATTTTGTTATTTTTGTAAATATTATCATGTGCCCTTTTTAAATTTTAAACTTTAAGCCCTTAACTATTTATTACTTTTAACCCTTTACTATATAATAATGATCTATATCCCATGTATTTATTAACAAATGTATTTATTTATTTATGTATTATTTATTTATTTAAAATTAATATATTTAATTTAACTGTCCTAGGGTTAGGGTTAGGGTTAGGGCTAGGGTTAGGGTTAGGGCTAGGGTTAGGGTTAGGGTTAGGGCTAGGGTTAGGGTTAGGGCTAGGGTTAGGGTTAGGGTTAGGGCCAGGACTAGGGTTAGGGTTAGGGTTAGGGTTAGGGTTAGGGCCAGAGCTAGGGTTAGGGTTAGGGTTAGGGTTAGGGTTAGGGTTAGGGCTGGGGCCAGGGCTAGTTGGTTAGTTCGATTTTTTATTGAGGCCAAATGGTTCTCTAGTCCCCAACCAATAGATCCATCTCCTTTCTGCCCTCTTCCGTTCCCAGTCTGACCAAAGAATATTTCTCTCCAAACCAGCTATCCTCACCGAACTCCATCCATGTAATAAAAAATGTTTCACCACCGGTGTATCTTGTTCCTTCTTGTTCTTTATGTTGTATCTATGTTGCGTCATGCGCGTAGACAAAGTATTTTTGGTTTCTCCAACATATTTTAGTTTACATTGACTACAGTACAATACATAAATGCAATTTTTAGATTTTGGACTAAAGCTCTGCGAAATCTGTAAAATTGTTTTGTCCCTATTGTTTTTAACAAATTTTAAACGGGAAAATTGCTCGTTTAACATTTGCGGCTTTTCTGTTGTTAAAGATGGTAATTTGGCTTTAACTAAAATATCTCTCAAATTTTTGTTCCTTCTGTACGCTGAAATTACCCTAGAATTTGGAAACATATTGATTTTTTGGATAATATTTTGAAAATTGTTTTTCCACCTGTTGTTCAGATTTTTGCCTGTTGAACTGTACGTAGTAATGAGTGGAATTAATTCTCTCTGATCTTTCTCTCTGCGCACAAGAAACTGTTTCAAACTTGTCCGTAAAAAGGATCTCGAATATCCTCTTTTACGTAGAGCCTCAAAAAGAATGTTGGTTGCTTCCTTAAAATGTTTTTCCTGTGAACAAATCCGTTTAAATCGAAGGATTTGCGATTTAACGAGACCCCGAAAGGTATGTTTTGGATGAAAACTATTTTTGTGTAATAAAGCATGTGTATCCGTAGTTTTGAAACTGACTTTAAACTCCAATTGGTGTGTATTTTGAAAATCTGGTCCTTTGAATACTGTTGTGTCTAAAAAATTAATTGACTCCTGATTAATCTCAGCCTTGAGTTGAATCGATGGATCGTGGGAATTCAAAATGTCTAAAAATCCTTCAAATTCCCTCTCCGATCCCTCCCAAGTTCCCCATATATCGTCCAGATACCTCAGATAATGTGTCGGTTTTTTCTCACATTTGCTCAACACTTCCTTTTCCCACTGAGCCATAAAAATGTTGGCATATGCTGGGGCAAATGTTTTCCCCATGGCAGTTCCCTTAATCTGCAAATAAAATTGTCCATTGAACATAAAATCGTTTCTGGTTAAATTAATTTCCAACAGTTGTAATAATTCTTTGTCTGGTCTTTTGGTATCAGGATATTGAGCAAAAGCATTTTTTATGGACCTTAAACCAGCCTCAATATCAATGTTAGTGTACAAACTATTTACATCCATAGAAAACAAATAAGAATTGGAAGGGATCCTCAAACTCCTGACTATCTCCATAAAATGGTAAGTATCTTTAACATAGGCAGGATGTTTTATTGAGAGTGGATTCAAATAGTAATCCAAATACTTTGCTGTATAATATGTGTCACTCCCACAATCCGAGACTATTGGCCTTCCGGGAGGTAACTCAAAGGGAATCGTCCACTTTTCAGGTTCTTTGTGAATTTTCGGGAGGATATAAAATCTTCTTTCCCTGGGTTCTGAATCCCCTTTTAGATAATTGTATTGTTTCTTATTTATGAATTTTTTGTTTTTTAATGAATTTAAAATTTTATCAACTACGGGGATCGTGTCCCAAAAGATGGGTTTCTCTAATTTTTTATAGTAATTGGCGTCATTTAATTGTCTCTCGACTTCCAGAATATATTGTTCCCTATCCAAAATGACAATGGCTGTCCCCTTATCAGCCGGCTTAATCACTATATGTTTTGTATTTTTTAATTCCCTTAATGCTTCGATTTCTTGTGGAAATAAATTGCATTTCTCTTTGACTTGTTTGTGCTTTTTAAATGTGTCCGAATCTTCATAAATTAAATTTTTAATCTCAAGGGGTAACGATTGTAATGGAGGAGACCATTTTGAGGTCCCCATAAAGGGTTTAATCTGTTTTGTCTTTGAATTTTGAAAGAATGCTGTCAATTTGATTTTACGATGGTAAGTTTGCATATCCATCTGTAGCTGCTCCTTTTGTTCCCTGCCTATGTTTAATGTTGGTATAAATGTTAATCCCTTACTCAACAGGTCATGTTGGGGTCTAGAAAGACTAAAGTTTTTGGCTAAAACAATAACATTCTGTCCTGAAAAGGATCGATGTCCTATGACCCCCTCTTCTTCTAGACTTAAGGGGCGCTTAAGTTTAAAAAGGCCGTCCAGTGGTCAAACATGGCTGCCCCAGTCTCTGCTGTCCAATGAATATCGTCCGCCGCTGTTTCGAATTTCTCTTCTGGCAAAGGGGGAATAAACCCCATATTCTTTTTAATATGGGCATTAAGACTCTGTAAGTTTTCCTTTTCATCACTGGGGAGGGCTGATGAAAAGTTGATCAAAGGGACCCACACTTGTGCATAAGGAAAGCTCCTCTTAGTAGATCGGATAGCTCCTTGCACATTTTTAATTGTTGTATCACTTTTGTTTTCTCTAGCATTGATTCCAAATGCCAGAACTACTTTCTCAACCACCAAATCTTGTGGGGGTGCTGTTTTTTCCATAAGGGTCTGTGCATGGCGAAAATGGCTCCCTGGAAAACTGTCAATCTGCAGATTTTTGTTAAAATAAGGTGGTATGTGTTTCAAGTTAGAGTCCCCAATGATCAGATACTTTTTCTCCACGACCAAATCCCATTCAGTTAGTTTTCTTTGGGTATTACTGTGACAGTTCACCTTAAAACGCTCTGGTTCTGGACTCAAAAATCTGTCCGATGAGTCTTGAAAGACATCCCCATCGTCCGGATCTGGACCCGGATCTTCCGATCTCAAAGCCTCAACCTCAGCTGGCTCAGGAAATGCTTCTCTCAAAACCTGAACCTGAACCTCTGTTTGGTTTGGGGTCGAGGTTTGTTGCTCTGAATCTTTAGGGGGTTCCCTAGCTGCTCTTGCCTCCAACCTCTCCCGTTCCTCTTCTGCATCTAGCTCATCAAACAATGTGGCTAACTGTGAGTTTGTCAAAATCTGGTCATGTATGACTCTAGGCTGTTCTTCAACCTCCTCAACCTCCTCTACAAAAACTTCGTCCTCAGGCAACACCACCCCTTTTCTCCCTCTGTAGGCCTGTCTCTGTTCTTTGGGCGAACTTGCCCATTCAGAGTCTGTCTGTTGGACCTGTTCGGTCATCGTGGCCACTGATTGTTTGGCCGGTGGTTGGATGTTTAGCCCGTGACTCTTAGTTCCCCTCAATGACTGCAATGTTATGTTCTTTTGAACAGTAGGTTGGGGTGCTTCCTCTCTAACCTCTGTTCTCTCTGTCAGAAGGGCCTCAGCTCTCTCTGTGATAAGGGCCTCTGCGTGATCTATAACATCTGCTGTGATCCGGGGCAGGTTTCGTTTTGCCCAACGTACCGCCACTTCAAAGGCATCCTTCCACCGTGGAATCAAAATTCCCTCAAGTTCCCCCAAGACCACATCCAAACCGTCCTTATAGTGATCCATCAGAATGGTCACTGTGTTGTAGCCCCAGTTCTCTGCATTTCCCTTAATGAACTCCATAGTTCGCTGAGTGGGAACTGCGGGCTTGATCATAGTGGCTAGCACTTCAACCATCCGGGAGATGATTTTGGGTTCTCCCTTCCCGGCTTTTGGAGCAACATTTTGGTAATGGTGCACTATCTTTATAAGACTATGCATAGTCCTGACCAGCCGCCCGAACTGCGGGTCAGCTGGCTGTCTCCTAATATTGTCCGAATGCTGCTGAACCGGTGGATTTTTATAAAATCGTGGGGCCGGTCTCGGATTGAATTGGCGGCCCACCACAGATGCATAGGTTTTTGATTGGGGACCATAGAAACGTGCCGGTCTTGGAGGAGGCACTGGCTGGTAAGGTGAGGGGACTCTATCCCGTCTCCCATAAGGAGCGGGGAATGCACGGGCCTTCCCCCATCCGTACCCGTCCCTACGGTCCCAGGATTGCTGGCGGAAACGTCGGGCCCTCCGGCCGTATCTGACCTCCGTCCAGTCTGTATTGTAGCCACTCATGTTGGAGTGGCTATTGAAATGTTTTTATTTATTTTAAATATTGGTTTGTTTAAAGAAATAAAAGACTGATTTTTACCTATAAAAGGAAACCTATCTGTATAAACAAAGGAAACTTAACTTTTAAAAATTTAAACTTTTCTTAAAATAAAATGCTGATTGTTTTAATCAAAATGTAAAAATAAAATGAATTTCAAACTGTTTTTAAATATTTTTAAATGTT